TAAGGTCGGTGATGGTGAAGGAGTGCCGGTCTACCGTTCAGCCACGAGTGCCGCGATGAAAACATGAGAGCCTTGGTGGGTTGCAGGAGAGAGATCCACTTGAAACGAGAGTTCCGCCGCCGGCGGTGGGTGAGGTCCGCCTCCGCCCGCCGTCGGAACCATTGGAATTTGAGTACGGGGCGTTGCTGACGTGTGTTCGTGAGCGTGGTCTGCTAGTGGTCTGTTGGTTGAATAGCCCAGCCATTTTCGGGTTGGCGAGAGTAAGATCGAGTACCCCTCCGGGAGGTGAGTAGCCAAGATCGGGTGCACCCGGCGGGCATAGGGTCAGGGTCGCTGGTAGGGGAGGGCGTCGGCCAATCAGGTGGCGCCAGGAGGGCGCTGCCGGCTGTGTACAACAAGTGTTCCCGATAACGGCCGGGTTCGGGCCGGGTGTACCCGATTTTGGCTGCTCCTCTTTTTTTATTTGATTGTCTTTTGGGTTTGTGAACGCGAAGTAGGCGCACCACCTCTTTGACGGCAGGTTCAATAACCCTTATCTCAACCGCGTGCCCCTACTTCAACCTAGCTTGGTCTCTTCGCGAAGGCTACTGGATGAGGCGGGTCTTGGGGCGGGGGTGTTGGACGGGATATAGTGGTGAAGACGGGGGGGTAAGATACAAGAGGGAGATAGATGGTTATCAAGGACAAGGTCAATACATTAACACTGGGCCCGCCATGGCCCAAGTTTTTCTCACGCGTTCGACGATTAGTTGAATTTCGCGAAGGTCGATAGCGTGTTACGTTGGCAGAAGTGGTATCGTATCTCCCAGCTTGCGTTGCATGTGATCGGGGGTGTGTGTCCCCAACTTCCTATCGCGTCCTCATCGATCCTTCTTATCAGATGCCCCTGGCAGTGGCGGGGGTGGCTACAGCGGGGGCGGTGGGTACAACGGCGGCGGTGGTTACAGTGGCGGCGGCGGGGGGTACAGCGGCGGCGGCGGGCGCTACAGTGACTCTCCTTCTGACCGAGAGGGCCACGGGTATGATCTACATAACTCCCCGCGACTGATGCATTTACAGCTTTGAGCAGCATCGTCATCGTCGTCATGGGCGTTGTTGCACCATTCTCGCGGCGCGTTAAGAGCTCCCGGCGACTGCGGCATTATAACTTTGGCGGTATCACTCTGTCGTCGTCGTCGTCGTCGTCCTCGTTCTTACTTTCGTGCGGCGTGTTACAAGAGCCCGCCGCGTCATGCAGGCGTCGCCGCCTGTCTCGCCTCCTATACCGCGAACAATGCCGTTCTCGGGATGGTTATTTTTTTGTTGGTATCTCTCAGTCGCTCGTCCCGTGTGTCCTCTTTGTTGCCGGAAGGGTCGTGTGCAACACACCTTTCGCGTTTTTTGGTGCCCGATCCGCCGCAGCCCCCCGTTCCTACAACCCGTGTCCCCTCGCGTGCTGCTTTGCTAATTTTCTCTCTTCCTGTCTCTGTGTCTGTGTGTGTCTCTGTCTCTCTCCCTCCCTCCTCGCCCTCTCTCTCTCTCTCTCCCTATCTGTCCTTGTCTCTGTCTCTGTCTCTGTCTCTCTCCCTCCCTCTCTCGCCCTCTCGATCCCTCGCTGTTGTGCTGTTTGTAGAGGGACGATTGCGAAGGGCAAGTACTCAGACACGGCGGAGGAACCCAGCTACAGAAGCAAGGCAGCCGAGCCACAAAAGGAACCTTCTAAGGTGCGCGGGCGGCGGCGGGCGGGGGTACCAAATGCGGCGAGACTACAACAATGAAATTGCGGCGGAACGAATGAAGCGGCCCTTAGACAAGGGTATAGGCACGCTTTCGATTTTCCAAAGGCTAGATGGATAAAGTGGTTGGTGTCAAACGTGCGCCTGCGAGTGAAACGCACGGCTAAACTGCGTGCGTTGGCAGGAGAGTGACATCAAAGCTGCCCAAGCTAGGCTTGCTCTTCGTCGATGCTTGGAATGTTGCCGAGAAAGAGAGAGAGAATCGTCCTTGTCTTCCACACACCAAACGAAGTGCGTTTTGAAAGGACACTACACATGCATCGAAACTCTCAGTTATTTCCCGAATGTTCTCCAGCTCTTGCTTGCTTGTTGATGGCGCGACGGTATTGGCGTCGCTGTGATGTTGGAAGTTCACTTCTGGGAGACTTGAATGAGCCAGGAAGAGGAGGTACGGGAGTACTTAGGCGAGGACCCCGACGGTTGTTTTGTGCGTGAGGGCTAGCGACAAGGTGTCAACAGCAACAACAACGACAGCAGTCACGCGTCTATAAAAATTACTCTATGCAGTACAACCCGCCTGCCTGGCTGGTGGGCAGTCACGGGAGACGATAGGACCCGGTCGAATTACCCCGTGGTGCCGAGTTACAATCCTCACGGATGCCCACTAGCCTAGGCCGGCGAAAACCCGGCATGTCGCTCCGTCCCGACGTTGCAGGGATGCGAGGGTAATGGTCTAACGACTACGGCATGCTTTTCCGTGAGTACCCCGCCTTCCCTTACACCTCACGGACCCCCCTCCGAACCAACCCGCTATCCTCCTCCCACACGTTGCGGCGCCAAACCAACAGCCTAAGCGCGACCGCAAGAAGTCTTCCGGCGGCGGTGGCGGTCCTAAGCTGACAATCAAGATCAAGGAGAAGGGCGGCGGCGGAGGGAGCTCCACCGCGAAACCGGCCGCAGCTGCCGCTAAAGCCGCCCCCGTTCCAGACCTACTAGGTGGCGATTTCCTGACCTCCGACCCCGCTCCCGCGGCTGCTACCGCCGCCGCCGCCGCAGGCGGCGGGTTCGGGGACATGTTTGCCGCCGCTCCCGCGAACGGCGGCGGCAGCGGCTTCGATGGGTTCGACCCCCGCGGCGGGGGATCTTCCGCTGCTGCGGCCCCAGCGGCCCCAACTCCGGTGGCTACTGCTGCCGCGGCGGCGGCGGCGGCTCCGGCTGGAGGTGGCGGCGTGTTCGGTCAGGAGTTCTCGGGTTTTTCTGCGGTGCCGGCGGCGGGTCAACCGCCCGGGGCGGCGGCCGGCGGCACGGGCGGGGCGGTAAGCCATTTTTTTTTTCTTTTTTGAAGATGTACCTGCACTCAAAGAAACACTAGATACCCGCTCGAGATACAGTATAATATCGCGGTCGAAGGAAAAGTTTGTACGGTGAATATATCGGCGGTGGCGGTGTGATACGCACGCACACGACGGTCGGGGTGTTGTTGTGATGGGGGTATCGCTGCTTGACCAGCAAGGCAGAACGGCGTCTCTAGCAGAGAGAGTAAAAAGGAACCGCACTAGACCTCGAGGAGGAACAAGCCAAGGGCACTCTGGATCAGGCCAACTTGGTATTTCAGCAGAAGCAGGCGGAGCATGCGAGTGTATTCGCTCAAAGTAGGAACAAGGATGAGGAGATCGGGGCGTTGCGGGAAAGACCGGAAGCTATCCCGGGAGACCATCCAGAAAACCCGAACCAGAAACGGGGGGCGTCGCAGCCGGAGGGGGGGGGGGCGGCGGCACTGTTCTTGAAATGGTTGTCCATCGCGAACAGTCGAGGTTCGTCGACTTATTTT